GTATTTTGGATATGGAAGTGACGGAATGAAAAAAAAAAAAGTCTTTTGGATATGGAAGTGAGAGCAATATTAGACAATGCAGGATTTGAGAAAATACTTTGCAAAACTGGTTGAAAACCACTGTTATTTTTGAGATGTTTAAATAAATGAACACCATTTAAAAGTGTATTAACCACCACACAAAAATGTTACACACTAGTTACAGATGGGGAAGGATTGAAATCAAAATACAGAATTCAGATTCTCAAATACATTTTGTTCAGGCCTCAATTTCTGGTGATATTACTGCCAGAGAAAATGACAGCAGAGTGATTTTCCTGGGAAGATCCTTCAGTTTCCCAGACCAAAGTCTTTAAAAAGAAATAATCCATCCATCTGGATCTTTTCATCCAAAGGGCAAATCTTACCTCTTCAAACTAAACTACAACAATACGTCTCTTACAACCCCATTTCAGCCTCACAAATTTTAATTCTCACTCTTACTTGTGTGTTCCAACTGGCTCATCAACTGCCTGCTACTTATTTTATCTCTCTCCTCTTTACATTTAGTCTGTTAGCGCTTAAGCCCCCACTCCCCACTTCAGTCCTACCCCAATGCTCTGAATTTAAAGTGAATTTACAGATACTCCACAAGGCAAGGAGAGAAAGGAACAGAATAATCTTTGGCAGCTCTCAAAACGGTGGCAACACCACTGCCGAGACCATTGTCTTTGTAGTGGTACAGCTACAGCTTTGGAATATTTGGTTTATAACCAAAATTACCAAATGTTTTGGTAGAACTGTACCTTGTTTTTTTCATTGGACTTGGAAGCACTGAGCCCGCTGAACAGACACAAAGATATAGTGAAATCAATGCAACTGAGCACTGATTTACTGTACAAACACACAGCTGACCAAGCCACCTCAGAGTCACACCTCAAGTACCTCAGGACCAGTTTGAACAACATGTACACAGTGGATCCTCAGATGTGAGCAGAAGTTCTTCAAATGCTATCCAGATATATCCTCTGTATGGAAAAAATATTTGGAGTCAAATGTGGAATACAGAAATAAAGATTAACACAATCTGCTTGAGGCTACCAGTTCTGGGTACCACAGAAAATGTCCTGCACAACAGAAATTTTATGTCTGTGAACTTTAGAAGTAATGCTAAATGCATGCATGTTTGTGGGACTGGAGACTTTAGTTTTATTTATCACTGAGGATGAAAACAGTTTTTACAGTGATTTTAGTTGAACACCACATTCTGAGCAATAAGCAGGCAAGCCAAATGCCTAAAATAACATAAATGGATTCAGTTTGGGGGAAGTTCTCCTTGCACAAGTCTTGTTCCTGGACAGCCATTTCCTTTTACATTATTTATGACTAGTGAAATTAGGCACCATCATCCACATAATATTAACAAAATAAATGCAGTTTTTTCAGCATCCTATTAGTTCAGGACAACATGGTTCCTTGTATTTTCTCCCTATATTGCACTGAAATAATATATAAAATACATATATTATTTTTCTTACAGTAACATTCATTTGATGCTATTTGAATGCAGGGGAAAAAGGGTCAGGGCTTCTCAGTTTAAAGCACCTTAAGGAGAATTTGAGTTGTGCCAAGAACCAACAGAATGTTAGAAGTATAATGAACAATTTGAATGACATATTGGGATTTGAATGTTCAATCAATTTTATTCTTAGAAGCAGTTAAAAATGGAATTTGTTTAAAACAAAGAAAAAAAGCAGCACATCTAAAAACACACACAGCCTAAAAGAATTCCCTAGAAGGAAAAAATCTAAGAGATGTTTTATGAAAGTAAGCCCAGAGAATGAGTAAACTAAGATTGAAATCTAAGAGAAGTACGGCTAGGACAGGGAGAGTCCTTGGGGAGAGGGAAAGGAGGAGAAATGGTTTTGTTTTATCCCATTTCTACAGGGAAAAATCCAACAAAATCTCTGCCAGGTTATTTTGAATTTGTTATTTTTAGTGATGTTTCTGTTGATGTTTCATTTTGCTTTCTCAATGGTCTTACATCCCTGAGCACCTGTATGCACAAAATTCTAGTAAAAACTCTTGTTTGAAACTGTACTTTGTAATCCTGTGCACCCCCTACCTCTTCAGCACATGTAATTTTAACTCAAAGGAAAATAGTCAAGTTGTCAAGAAAAACAAATCCACAAGTTTTTCTAAGAGCAAAACTAAAACCTTTAGAACAGAAGGATGGTTGAGAATGTGACAGTTTCTGCATCATCTCAGCTATCAGACAAATATATTCTACATCTGCTTTTTTGACTAATCCCCTCCCTAGCAAACAAAGTGTAGTGCAAGCACAGTAACCTCCTATATTTAGATATTTGTGGAATTTAGGTAAACACAGTATTAATATTAAGGCTCCTAAAGCTTTAATTATAATTTTTGGGCATGTTAAAAACCTTGAAAGCTTATGCTAATCAGTGAAGTTGAATACTTTTTGAGAGTTGGCTCAGGAAAGACAAAGCCTACACTAAACAGGAAAATGAAAACTGAGCTTTTTGATGACAGTTGACATAAAACAGTTAGGAAATGTTCAGCAACTACAGTCATTGCATGATTTAGAGGAACCATTTTATCAGCAATTTAAATGTGGTATCCAAAAGGGACATTTTCCTGTCTACAAGAAGGATGAATCTGTCTGACCTAAGAATCCCAGAAGCAGCTTGTAATAACCACACTATTGCTCCTGAACATGAGGGTACCACACACTTCCAAGTCTGATGTGAGGAAGCTAATCAGAAGCGAATATAGAAAAGAAGCACAATGTCCTTTATAGCCTCACATCATTACAAGATGGTAGTGATGGACTTTGCTGTAACCTTGACTGTCAAAAAATTATAGCTGAGCCAACAGTGATCATTCAAGGTTATTCTTGGACTTTTGTATTTGTAGCAGGCATATTTTTCAAAAAAAACCACTTTCATATAATGAAGAATGAAAATTCATGTCAACCAAGATGACAAATGTATTTTTTTCTGTATTTTCCATTTGTTTGGAAGGAATCAGAAGCAGTTTTCCATTCTGTGTGTATATGAACTTCAATGTATTTACACTAACAACAATATGCAAGTAATACCTACAGTAACAACTCCTAGATGTTGCATACCATCAATAACAGTAATAATGTTAATTATCCCCTCAAACATCACTGAACACTAGATCAATGTTCTACTTCATCAAGTCTTTCAGCTTCATTATTGGATAAATATGTCAAATATATTAAATGTATCACAAGTGTACTGGAGATGACCGCAGCTCTCCAGCTATAGGATGAAAAGGAAACCATAGGTGTCATGTATAACCACTGAGAAAATTGATCTCAGCCATGTGGTACCCTAACCACAAAACTTTAGTCAACAGCTTCAAACTGACTGTGTAGTG